TCACAAGTTGAAATCATGAGTCATTTGAAGCTAGACCACCATGAAAAACCTGGAAGCACTGGACGGCCGTTTCGTCCTGATATGGGACTCCTAAGCAGTGCGCATCCCATTGACTTATGATTTCAACTTGTGAAATTTCTAAAAAATCTTCACAAAACCCATTCTTACATAAGAGTTTTGTCATGCAAATGCGTTTTATCAGCAGTTTAATAAATAAACAATCCTGTTTGAATTGTTCACTTTAGTATTCAGTGATTTATCTTTTAGTCTGTAAGTCTAGGAACATTCTTTTAATGATTTCTATGAAGATTTCATATCGTTGTAAGATAATTACTATTATGAATTGGGATCAACAGGAAAACCACTGAAAACCAGTACTCAAAGGGTTTTAGCACCACCATCCACATTTCAACAGCAGTTCAAATTCAAAACATATCACAAAGATAAACTTAATACTTTCCACCTCAGTGGTAAGTATCATGGGATTTTGGTGGAGTTTTGTCCTCTGAGCTGGATGGTTTGGTCGTGGACGATGAAAGCTCCACGACCAAACCATCCAGCTCAGAGAACAAAACTCCACCAAAATCATCCACCTGAGCTACAAATCTTCTCCACTATCTCAGTATTATGGGATTAGATCACTGAGCTCAAGATGAATGAATAACATTATTTTACTTAAGTAAATTTTTATGCAATTCTTAATTAATAAAACAGATGAGTCATCTCTCACTCTCATTCTGTGGTTAATCCAACAGTAATATAGTAAGATTCCGAATGAGACTTGGATCTGATGGCCGATATTATCCTCAATATCTTCGATGTTTAATTTCTGTATTGTTTTGGGAACCTTCAACCACATTTTCATCTATTTAATAAATAAAGGTTGTATAGTAAAATGATATTTCCACTAAGAATTTCACTTCGTGTGCATGAAGTAATGCACAACTGTCTTCTGTGAAAATGTCAATGTAGCGTAGATAACACGTCAAATGAACACAAACATAGTGGTCATAATGACTGAATAAAATGTTTAATATAAAGTAGACTCCAGTATGTAGTATCTACCTGTCAAATGAACTGAAAAATTATTGAAAGGATTGGATACTACATACTTATTGGAAATCGAAAACATTGAAGAAAATATAGACGGGATTAGGCTTATGTCATGATAATTTACTGTATTATGCATGGATAAATAGACATATTTTTTAATGAGTCCTCGTATAAAATGGTGTATAATTATTCTTAGTTTGCTGGAAATAATCGATAGTACTATGATCCTAAGACTCCATGATCGGTAGAACCTATGACCTTATTTACACATTCATCCTCTTCTTATCTGTCACAAATGAACAATTAGGTCTCATTCACACATTATTTTCATTTTACTCTATTTGCACTAACATCTGGATTACTATAGATAGTCTTTTGCGAATATTTGAAATCGTCAAATACTTTGAAACACAAACCAGTAATGCTTCTCAGTAGACTACTCTATATATGTCAATATAGGATTGTAAAGATCGTGAAATTTCATCGATAATTATCGAGTATTCACTAGTGACTAGCCTTGAGAGGTAATTCTCGGAGTCCTAGTGAGAAGTCATGACCGATGGAGTTGAACAATGTCGGATGTGAGTCAGTTACCCATCGAAGACAATGTAAGATAGTTGCACAACATCGTGGATTTATTGAAGTTAGACATTAACACCGTTGAATAACAACTCAGTGGTTCAAATCTTAGGTATTTGTGGGCGAGACCGAGTGTCCCAGATTCAATTTCCATATGTGGGATCATGGATGCGTACTGTTGAGTAGTCCCATACTATAATGAAACGGACGTCCAGTGATTCCGGGTTTTTAATGGTAATCTAACTTAGATCGATTCAGGATTGCTATGCAATGATATTTATTGTTATTGTCATTATCATATCATAAAATACTAATTGGAACCGACGAGTTGCTTAAAACCTTCATAAGTAGTATGTAGGTATACAGTGAATATAAAACATGTACACGACAAACATATGGATAATGTTTGTTTGATTGAAATCAATGTTGTCATTCCATTTTTATATTCCAAGAAAAGAGTAATGATTATATACTTACAAATAGAGAAAGAAAAAAACAGTCCAATGATTTGATAAAAATCATTCAAAGTAAAAGAAAATAATCAGATTGAATTTATTGCACAATTTAAGAAATCAGTCAGCCAGTCCGTCAGTCTGTTACAAGCAACGTATAACCCTGGGAGAATGTGCTATGATTCGAAGAACGTCAGCATAGCGCGATGAAAACATTAAGATAAACATAAAGATTCTCTAAATATGATAGTTAATTTTATAAAAAACCATTAATATGTTGTTGACGATCCTGATTGTGAAAGTTAATACAATCCATATAAACTAATTATATAGTTTTCAAGTTGATATTTATGAGGCTTCACTCTATATGTACGGGATTATTAAATCAATCCAGCCAGTTTGTGAGTCTATGACCACAGTGAAAAAGATCGCATAACTACGCATGAGTGGTAAAATGTACAAATTGATAATAAGGAAACAAGTGTATTAGTAACGACAAGAACAGTAAAATATGAAGTTATAATCAACACAAGATGTAGGTCAAAGTTGGATAAAACTAATTAGAATTACACAATAAGTGTAAATGATCACACAGTGAAGTATGTGAACGGAAGTTATAAAATAGGGTCATAGGTTCGAATCTTTAATGTCTCTGTGATATGTAGTACACAGAGTCGATCTCTATTCGGAAATAATGAAGGTAAATGATAGGTCATTACGACTATCATCAAAAGGATACAGGTACTCATAAACATTTGTCTATACAAGATATTCCAGATCCGTTGGCCTGACATCATCAGCAGCGACCTATGGTGACAGAGAACAAACTAGATTCCACCACCACGCTCTTGGTGGATAGGACACACATTGAAGAAAATGCATCGCAAAGCAAGCCTTAACCTGAAACCCTATGGGCAAAAGGAATCATATGACCACTGTTAATCAGGTTTGCTTAGATAAAACTATGTTTTGTTTTAACTTTACCCTTTCAAAACCACACAAGAAGATGTTCTCTTATTCGTTGGTAGGTTCACATTAAAGAAATAAACTCAGATACTTTATCTTTTGTTTAAATACAAATCATTGGTTCAAAAGAAACCATCACTGTAAAATCAGCTGCGTAAAATGTCTTTTATTCACGTATATTACAATAAAGCCTTACAAAGATCTAATTAGAAACAATATTGTTTGCTTATATGTATTGTTCTAATAGTATATTTATTTGCTTTTTCATAATCAAGTTACTTAATAATTCAAATAGTTTTTAACTAGTCAAATGTAATAGAGTGTGAAAATGATGTTTAAAAAAACTGTAACATTCAAAGAAAAGTCCAACTGATGACATCTAGTTGACAGGAAAATGGTAAAGAGAGGACAGTGACAGAGTGTTACACAATGAAAATTTGTAAAAAAATTCAAATAAAGAGTTTGTATTCCTTTATGTTTCTCTGAAGTTAAGTATGCTATTTGAGATATTTAGTAAATGATGTAATTATCAAAGAGTTACTGTGAAATTTAAGCCGTTTCACAGACTGTGTCTAATTAATTAACATCGAGGTAAAGTGCATGGAATATCAAGTCCCTTAGGGTGCGGAATAAAAATCCATAAATGGCACCAAATCTTTCTTACATTACCGATGCATCTATCCTTTGGGTGTCAAGAAAACACAAAACGTAAGTTCAAGGTTTCCGATAAACTATCCTACATCTGCCCAACTCTTCCAATTTTCAAAGAAAATTAGACTGATCATCAATACCTTTATGAATTCCTAGTTTTTCATAATTATAGATACATGTCCATTTTTGTATTTGTTGTTGGAATCTTTACATTTAAGTTTATGACTACAATTGATCAGTCTCTTATTGGCATATGTGCATTATGTACGGATTGCCTCGATATTACCTGAAGTCACCATCATTTCTGCTTATAGATGCATGTGTTTTAATTGATTCATTTTTTAATGGATTATTGGTGTACATTGTTTTCCTTAAAAAGTATGCATTATACACACTCCTAAGCCATTTGTATATTACTAACAGCTCATCACATTATAAAAAACTCACTATAAGGTATAATATAATAATCTCTGTTCTTCTATTTATCAAAAAGGTTTTTTAAGTAGTAGTTGGGGATCAAACATCCTAAGACAGTAGTATTCTGATGTTTTTGGTTGGCATTTATAATTAATCATGCAACAGAATACTTGAATACAACTGATCGATAAGTGAGTAGTCACCAGTCTTATATTTACATAGTTCTATGTAGTACTGATTGAGTTGCATTGGTCAAGCTGAAATGTGGTCATTACTTTAACTGACTTAACATTGAGTTATGTTAGGATGTAATCTGGCAGTTGTAGGTAGTCGACTAGTGGTTTTGGACTTGTACTACTAACTGCTAACTGTCACGTTATGAGTGTTAAAATAATGAGTTATATCCAGCACTTGCGATTACATTTCTACTCATTTAACTGGTGAGTGTTGCATATTCCAGTATAATTCTCATTAAAGTTTGGAGGTATACAACAACAATGTGTTATGAACATGTCAATGTAGCATAGCCAAACATGGTGAATATAAAACTCAAATATAATGAAATTAAAGGCTCAAAATAAAATCTCTAATATGTATTACTCATCTCCATTTATTGAACAGATAAAACGTCTCATGTTGTCAAATAGTACACATTACTTAAACAATAAAAACAAATGGCTGGTTAACCCAAATTCCCAAGGTATTACATTTTGTCACCTACTAATCAGAAAAAAATGTTTTCCTTATACAAATCATAAAATGTATACCCATAATATGAAATTGAAGTCCAGCTTGTCAACATACACACACACGCACACACACATGCATGGAAACACATACAAAAAACAAATTGAACACAACAACAACAACAACAAAACTCACCTTCATTTAATAAGGAATAATCCTCATCAAAATTCATTATCATATTATTATTCTTTTGAATATTTTGGCATAATTTTTCAAATACATAATGTTCACGATCAATACGTCCTCTTGTTACTAATTGATGATTATCAATAATTTGAAAATATTGATTTTCATTTAAGATATTTAATATAAGTGAAGTCTTTGATGTATTTTTCGGTGTATAATAATCATAAAGAAACATTAAATCACATACAAATGTACTAATCAGGATTTCTTCTATAATAATACATTTATTATTCTTATTATTATTATCATTACTATTACTATTATATACATTCTTATTATGATTGTTGTTTGATCGACTTTCATCAGCTGTTATTATAAAGTAATGTAATATACTTGTTAAAAAGATTGAATGTATTATTGTCAACATTGAAATGATTATGTAATAATGATTATAAAATGTGTACATAATTTATATTGATTAAATAATGGAATAAAGTTGATTTGTTCCAATGTCATTTTATTCCCAAGAATTGAACAATTTAAAATTATAAAGAGAATTTCTATGAAGAATAAAAAAAGAAAAGAAAAGTAAAGAAAAGAAAAGAAAAAAAAGTTATCATGTTATTCATGAATTAGACATATTTAATGGTGTTTTAAGTGGTACATAAAATTGAGGTATATCTATAACAAAAGAATTGTGTTAGTTACTTTTAAGTAATTTATTTTTTTGATATGTCTAATCACAAATGAATTACAAATCATCCAGTCAGTATTCATTAACCTGGTTACTTGTTGATTGTAAACACATACACACATATGCATGGAGCGAGAGAGAGAGACGCATTTATACACTTACGTATATACAAGTTTGGGAAATCAGTAGACTTAACTCATAATGACATTTTCAATTGATTCAGGAATGATAATGATTATATTGTTCCATATATTAACATACTTTCAGATGTGTGAATAAGACAATTATGTACAAACGAGTATTAATGTGTGTTATTTTCTGTGCACAATGTATGCACACGTCATATCTACTTATACACATACGAACACACAAATACATACATTACATTATATTGTGTATGAGTCTTTTAAAAAATTATGCCAACTATTTCCCAAAATTATTTTTATTCTATTTTGAAAAATACACACTTTACCCAATCAACCGAACTATCTCTCTCTCTATATATATATGTTGGTTAGAGATGTCCGTTTATCAATTTTTATATTGAGAAAAAAGGAATGAGATAAAGTGAATACCGTTATATTATGTTTTTGTCGAGAATGTATGTATGGTAGAGAAGTATTAGTCAGTTACTTTTGTTCTTTAATATACAAGTTGATTGGATAAAGAAACAACAGTTGATCAGGTTATCTATGTGAATAGATAAATGAGCCTATAATGTTAGCCTATGATATATATAAAGTGCCATCGGTGTTGGAAAGATAAATTTAGTGCACATGAACGCACTAACTCCTTCATGAATGCACTGGGCTAGTAGTAGTATTTATAGTTCACTAAAATTTGCTTTATCATTTGTACAACTTACTCATTCTTTTATTACATTTTCCATTACAGTGGATAAAACATAATTCTCTTCATCACTGGGACCTTACGGTAGGATTTATGAGTCATTAACATTTGAATATAAATATATACATGTGTGTTGAATACTTGGTTTATGGTTACAATAGAATCTAGAACAGCCGTTTCATCTCATTTGAGACTCACCAGCTAGATATTCCTCTATTCAGTATTGTAATGTTCAATAACGAGACTCGAATTCAGCCATTGAGTTCACATAGTTATTGACTTGTTCAGCAGGTATGAAATTAAGTGTAAAGGTTTTTACTTACCCTTTATTGATATAATGGAATGTAATTGATCAGTCCCTATTTCCGTATGTAAATCTAGTGTGTATTGTCTCGATATCTCTACTGAGATATAATTTTTTAGGAAATTAAAATCTTGAACACTTACATGCGTAGATACAATACAACAGAAGGAATAAAGATAGTCTGTGTATAGTGTAGAGGAATTCTATTAAAGCAATGAAACTAGTATGGCCTATATGTTCTAAACTATATGACCTACTTCCTAGTCCTACTGTGCAACTGGATGATAACGTATTTGGATGACAGTGATGAGTCCCTACAAAATTCGAATCATCGATGTACTGTTCCAATGGACAGCGAGAATAATCTCGTCATCAAAATATAAGTCGTTCTGTATAGTCAAATTACACACGGGTATACAAAATATTTATCAATGAATTACTAAATCTGTTCTTTTAGGTCATTCACTAACCAAAAAGATTGTCTAATTAACATGCTCCCTTAATACATAACATATGGATTTATGGATCACTGATTGGTCAATTATAAAATGAGATAACAAACGATCATTGTATATTGAGATATACACTTTCTGAAATTATAATTTTCCATGAAAACCACCCATAGTGGCTACACAAAGACGTAGTTTATTAGGAAATCGAGTTTCTTTATAAGTATGTAAATGATTCAAATCTTTAGAATACTCAATGACTTACAAACTGCTGATGTATCTTTTGTCGGAGAGGGAACGTAAGAGCCAAATGCGAATATTTATGGAATCGTGCACCTTTGATTCTAGAAGCAACAGTTGAACAAGAAAACCAGCATGTAATTCAAAACAGAAAAATCAATTGATCAATCACCGATCGCCAGATAAACAAAAAATGGCCGCGAACATTAAAAGTTAATATTATATACCTGAATGTATGCTAAATAAGGATTCTACAAGCTAACTGTAAATAGTTCCATCTTAGCCCATCTAATCAAAAAAAGATATCTTAGTAACTGTTATTCTTAAGGCTCTAATACCGTTGTACACACTAAAACACACACACACATTAAAAAATAAATACTGACATGCTGTTAGATATGAAGTTTGATACAACCATCCAATCGAGAACTATCATGTTCCAAATTAAACTATTACTGACATATATAAAGACAATAGATTTAACTACCACAAAGTTATTTCCGAGAGGACCAAGAAATTCATCATAACCAATTTATCAGACAACGATATTGATCAATGGAATTTCACATACTAAGAATAAAAGTGGGAAAACACTATGTGACGGAAAAAACTCATCATCGAAATAAATGCTTTTCCAGTGGGTAACTGATCAACTGGGTGTAGATAAATTATATTTTCCTATATATATTATTTAATGTATATAAGATAGATTACTAGATCATTACATAAACTACGAGGTGTGATCATTGATATAAAGGTTTTCATTATTCTGACGACAACCACCTAACATACTTCCAACAACCAACCATCACTTTGATTTTTTCTAAGGAAGACAACTCCCTTGTTACGTAACAAAAGGCAGCAATGTGAATTATGTAAAATGCTATTTAACTCACGAGTTGTTATAAATATAACACTAAAATATTCATGAATAAAATCCATTCAAAACTTTAGTGATTGTAGGATATTAATTTTGAAAGTTTTTACTGGGGATTGATTTAGATCATCTAGAAATATTTGTATATATCTTCTATGAGATGGATACAATAGCGAGCCTGAATTTGCTGGATGAAAAATCTAAAAAAGTGAAATTTAAAGCTTGAGATGAAAACGATGCTCTCAACTGTAGCGCTCCTTCACTGAATAAACAAAAACGTTATATATCTCACGTAAATTGAACATGGGAAAATGAATGAGCTACAAAGTGACGGATATGTGTCCTATCCCATGAGCAGTAAGAAATATCTTTGTGTAGGCCTCAGAATATTTCAAATGAAAACGAGAAATCACTTTTTACCATTAAAAAAGTAGTTATAATGGCAAACGTGTTTAATTACTCGATTGGTTCTATGTAGATTTTATATATCAAGAAAACTAACATAATAATCATATCTTAACACTTATTCCTGAAACAAATATGAATTCAGTGAAACGATATTCTGTGAAGGGTTGGATGGAGAATACTGGTGGGCGGCCTATGCTCCATTGAGCCTTCTTTTCTAGTTCTACCCAATTCTTGTTCATTTTTCTGATATCTATCTCCATTTCCCGGCGTAATGTGTCCTTTGGTCTTCCTCTCTTCCTTTGGCCTTGAGGATTCCATGTGATGGCTTTCCTTGTGATGCAGTTGGGTGCTTTCCTCAATATTTGCCCTATCCACTTCTATCGCTTCTTCCTGATTTCTTCCTGCACAGGAATCCGGTTTATTCTCTCCCACAGTTTGTTGTTGCTAATAGTGTCCGGCCTATGGATCCGAAGTATTTTGCTTAGACAACTGTTAATAAACACCTGTATCTTCTGGATGATGGCTTTCGTAGTTCTCCAGGTTTCCGCCCCATACAGTTATGTACAATATATCCACTCAGAATTCCTATATTATTAATACAGAGTTATATCAATTTCCAACAGAATCCGTCGTTGGATCCATTCCATACATTAACTGAAATTTCTAATGATAATTATCAAAAATATATTTGATATAATCTGAGCAATTAAAATTTAATGAGTTTCTTAAATCTGATTCAGTAAACTGGTCTGAGCTTCTCTATGGAATTAATTAATGAAAACCTTTAATGGCTATAAATAACCATTTGGTTTTTTAATCTATCTATAACTGTTCATCTAATCATCACTTAACAATATTACATTATTATTATTATTATTATTATTATTATTATTATTACTATTATTATTATTATTATTAGCTTTATTCAATATTACATTTTTGGTACAATATAGAATTTTCAGCGTAAAGTATTTCAACAAGTTTCCGTTTCTTTCTTCTTGGTCGGTCCTGGCGATAAATATTGAGCGATCGCCAGTTAGATGTTAACAGTCCAGTAAATGAACATTTGAATAATGTGTATTCTTTTCGTTGTATATTGCCAGCAACCACATTGTCTCTTATTGAGTTTTTTGTAACTTTGACAACGAAAGGTTGTGCACTTTTCAGAAACGCAGCAGAATAGGTTATGCGATTAATAGACATAACGATACATTAAAACAAACAAAAATAGATAACTTTTTGAAATATTTAGATGGCAGGAACAGGTAGCACAAATGCTCAAGCAGGTCGCCCTTATCTAACATTGTATGTCCAATAATATACTAAGAATGTATTTGTATTAGGTCAATAAATTCTCTCCATAAGTAATAATTTCATTTGTCTGTTATCAGTGTTATGATATTTCATTTATCAACTGCATACTTTAGTAAGTATATTGATGATTAGTTTGTCCTAATCTTGCAATAAATCGAATATGAATCATATATCTAAAATAGTTGACTGATTTCCACAATTTAGTATAAATCATAAGAGTTTATTCATCAAATACATTTTTTTAAAAGTTTAA